GCCGGGCACTAGTCAAGAGCCACCAAGTACTGCCCTATTTCCAGAAACCAGGCCCTCCCAATGACCCCACCCTCAAGATTCTTGGTGGCCCCACTGCCTGAGCTAACTTGGATGCAGTGAAGACTTGAGTTCAATGAGAAAAGCCCCAAGCCACAGAGGCCACAGTTTTGCTAATGCAGAGCAAGATGTGGACACGATGCCATCAGAGGGTCTTGAATTAAAGCAAAGAACATAAACACAATAGTCAATGCCAAAGTTACAGGAAAAGTTGGGGTGGTAGAGAAGATGAAAGGATTTATTCATAAGGAGATAACAAAACATAGGTTTTTCCTGTTGTCTAATAGGAAATGGGTCAGTTTCTCATTGACTCCTTCCTTTCTTGCCTTGGCTGATCATGCCAAGAAGTGACCAGGAGGAAGGCTGGCTTTTCATAGTGGCCGTACTGAGCAATGTTGGCTGGTGTAGACAGTCTGAAGTAGCTGTCATCCTCAAATTGTAAGCACTGAGTGAACTGGTCCCTTGGATGCCTGAGATTTGGTGGCCAGGTAGTGTGCTTTGGATGAGGATAACCTGACATCACCAGATCTTTGTCTGACATTGTTGTTCTTTGTTAAGGTCATAGATAAAATTTGGTTAGTTCATACTGAATGTCCAAAATTCAGAATTTGTTCTGATTCTGAGCTCTGGGGTCAACTATCAGTAGGAGCACCCAAGGGGTCAGGAAATTTCCCAAACTCAACCATCTTGGAAAGGCTTTCTAAGATATCTGTGCTTTAGGGCACCACGGAAGAAATTTCTAGACCTGTCCCTGAACTGTTGACATTGATGACCTATTTTAAGATTTTTCTTTTAATATTAAGGTCTAGCTAATTTCTACCAGATTGATTGTACCCTCTGGATTTTTATTTTGTGCTATGTAAACTGAATCGTAATCCTCTTATGATGATATTTATTGAACTCCTACTTTGTGCCAGAGTACATATTAATACTGGGAATGCCACATTAATCAATAATAATGCTAATCCAGTCAGGAAGTATGGTGTAGTAACTCAGCACTCACAGGACAATTAGAGGAGCTGGCCTGCTCTGCAGTAAAACCACCCAGCAATTATTCTGGCTTACAGCCTATTAACTTTTACCACTTCCTTAATACAAAAGAATTTTATTACCAATTTACCCAGCAAGTTAAATTAATATTTATAAGAGTCATGGAGGCTGAGGAGC